TTTCAGTGATTTTTTTTTTTTTTTAAGGATTCAAGAAGCTAAGCAGGGCAGCCTCTAGCAGCTGCAAATGACAAGAAGTCAGTGGTAGGACCTCCAGGAGCCGGCCCACCAACACTTTGGTTTTAGCCCCCTTCAGACCTAATTCAAATTTCCAACCTCCAGGCCAATAAGGAAACAAATCTGTATTGTTTTAAGCCATTGCATTTGGGGTAACTTTTTATAGCAGGAATAGGAAACTAATGCACCATCTCAGGTCTCAGCCGAAGTCTTTTTACTATGAAGCCTTTTTACAGTGAAGCCTTCACTGAAATGGATCCTGCCTACACTCTCTCTCACAGAACCTGTTCTTTCCATTTATAGCCCATTCTCACGATTTGTACCTGCTGTATATCTCTGTGTTTTTGTTGTTAATCAGCCACATATACCGTGGACTTTAAGGAGGGTAGAGGTCATGACCACTCACTGACTTCTTTATTTAGCTCCCATCTGGTAATACGTGATTGTCCTTCCCACCGAATCTAATTTTAAGTTATTACTTAGTCGCTTCACCTCTGTTCCTACTTTTGTATTTTTACCCTGAATTCTGTCAGCCCCTTCACTCTGTGATATATACCCACCAAGAATGAGCTTAGGAAATCAAATAGATCCCAGGGCCCATTAGAATTTGGACACTTTACAGCACTTACCCGATACACAGATGAAATGGCTAAACACAATGTATGCTAATTCTCTTCTCCCTGTCTACTGTTATTCTCTCAAGCAACTTCACTACTTTCTTGCCGTTCCTAAAATGAACAGTGTGAGAACCCGATGATTATTATAAATTTTCTCTGCACATTCAAATCTCCAACCCCCTCCACAACCTCCTTCTTCATGCTCTCAAGAAATAACCTTCTTTCCTATACTGATGGTCCCAAAGTTATGAATGGTGCTATTTATGTTTTTTTTTTCACTTTACTATGGGCTTATGGGGGTATTAAATGCATTTTTTACTTACAATATTCTCCACTTAAAATAGGTTTACAGGATATAACCCAATTTTAGGTTAAGAAGCATCTGTATTCCTCAAAAGGCAGGTATCAACATGAACCTCCTCTTCACCTTAGTTACTACACTACGTGAATACTAGAGTAAAGTCCACAATTTGCTGAGCTACTCAACTGGAACTTTTTTAAAAATAATTCTATGTAGGTATGTTCTGTCCCCTAATTCAACAAATCCCTAAACAGGGCTCTTTTATCTTTGCAGATCCTTACACACCCAACCTTACTGAGCAATATATACTCAACAAATGACTAATAATCATCCAGCTTCCAAAGCTTTCCACCAAAAGGAATGCCAATGTTTCCATATTAACACACATTACTTTTTTTCATCATCCCACAAGAGTTAGTAGGGGTGTTTTTTTTTTTTTTTTCTGTTTTTAAATTTTTTTGTAGACAATGAATCTTGTTATGTTGCCCAGGCTGGTCTCAACCTCCTGGCCCCAAGTGATCCTCCCACCTCAGCCTCCCAAAGTGCTGGGATCATAGGTGTGAGCCACTATGCCTGGTCCCTTATAGTTTTCTATCTGTACATCTTTGTTTCTCTCATTTAGCCTCCCCACTCTCACTTCTTCCTGTTTATATGCTATACATTATTTAAGACCGAGTTCAAGTGTCAAACAGCTTTCTCAGACCACTCTCAACCAGTCTTAATTTGTAACATTCATTATCTATACTACCATTTCCAAAAATGCATTCCAAGGAGCATTAGTATGTGTAGAGGTGTTAATGAGTGATCTAGCAGTACATTTATGAATACTACACACTGTATCTTACTCTTTCAAAATCACAATGTATATTATCATTTTAAAGCCTCAGAGAAGTCCTATAGTAAGGACCCCAAAATAATTCAACCTAGCAATTCTGAAATTTCTGTGATCAAGGAACATTCATTTCAGTGAAAACAAATTAACATTTCGAAGCACACCATTCTCTCAAGAACAATTTGAGATATTTTGGTTTTTGTTTATCCAAAAATTAATTATACTTTTTGATACCTTTTACACTGTTATTGAACTTATAGGTTTTATGTATGTCTGTGTGTCTCCCAAAACTAGACTAAGAATTCCTTGGGAGCAGAGATTATTTCTAGTTCTTTCTTCCCTACAGTAGCTAGTAAAATGCAGACATGAAGATAATACTGAATTTATTCCACACAGTCACAAACTACACACATAAATCTCCTTTTCCTAAGGTACATTATAATGCTTAGTATTTTGAAAATTAAAAGAACTACAGAGAATCAAAACCTAGATCAGGACTTCAATTAAAGATCTTTCTGAATAACAGAGTATTTCATTAAAGCAAGCAATCCCTAACTCAGACATCCTGAGCTGATGACTTAGACAGACAGGTGTGTAATGGAGCCTGTCACGGGCTGAATTATGTACTCCCAAAGTTCCTCTGTTAAAGCCCCAACCCAGCACCTCAGAATCTGATAGTAATTGGCAATAGGACCTTTATAAAAGTAAAAAAAGTTAAAGGAGGTCATATGGGTGGGCCCTAATCCAATCTTTTATCCTTAAAATAAGGAACCTGGACACACCAAGGATGCATGTGCGCAGAGGGACCATGTGAGGTCGCAGTGAAAAGGTGCCCACCTGACAGGCTAGAGGAGAGGTCTCAGAAGACAAACCTGTCAAAACTTTCATCTTGGATTTCTTGCCTCTGGAATTATCAGAAAATAAATTCCTGTCATTCAAGCCACCCAGGCTGTGGCATTTTGTCATGACAGCCCATGCAAACTAATACGAATCTCTGTCCTCACTGCAGCGCACACATGGGCACATGTGCATGCACAATACCACCTTTTCTGACAGCATAATTACTCATTAGCAAAAATGATGTATGTTCAGAAAAGGAGTGGTCAAAACAACGAAAAAACTGAAATGACATGAGAACTAGCTGAAGAAATTAGGGAGGAAGACTATTTTCAACTGCTCCTAGATCCTCAGCCTGCTGCTTGGTTAACAATTCTGCTTCACCAATAGATTAAGCTCAGTAGATAGTCGTAAAATTTGGTAATTAACTGGGGAGATCCAAATAAGAATGAAGACAAATGGAGTAAGGAATGATTAAAAGTAAAATAAGATTGACTTACACTTAAAATAACTTTTAATAATTAAACTTTTTGTTTCCCACCACTGGAAATAAAACAGCGCAGGCTGGACAATGCATTCAGCAAGAAAGCTGTAAGAAAAACCAAATGTCCAATGGAAAGTAGGGCTAGAGCCTCTTAGATTCTTCCCAGTGTCTCAGGGGCTCTAAATATGTCCTGCTCCAACCCACTGCAGCCCACTGACAGTTCCAAAGGGAGAAAGAAGAGAAAGATGTGCTCCTATCATCAAAATACATGTCCTGTGGAAACAATACCTCAGAGAATAAATAAAGTTCACAAAGTCAATACCATGCCATAAAGTTAAACACGATTTTATACGAATCCACATCAGTCAAGATTTTTTCCTATGGTAAAGTATGTTTTACATTCTTTAATACATAATACATAAATTAACTGGAAGCAAATTTTGAAAACATCTTGTTCATCAGGAAGTCTGCCTTTCATGCTGTATTATTTCACGTATGTTAGGTTTGGTTCCCTGGAGCGTGAGCTCCCTGTGAGCAGAGACTACTATTAACATTTTCGCATGCTCCCGCAGAGCCTCAGCATGTGGCTTGGTTAACGATTCTGCTTCACCAATTGATTAAGCTCAGTAGATTGTCGTGAAACTTGGTAATTAACTGGAGACAGAATATTCAGTGAGTTAGGGCCAGAGTGGCGAAGCTCCAGTCCTGCTCAGACTGGTTCCCTGTGTAATCTCAGGCCAGTCTTTTAACCTCTCCAAGGCTGTTTTCCTGTTCCATGCAAAATGGTTAAAGAGACGATTATGAAAAATATTCTCTGTAAAAGTACCTGGCACACAATAGGTGTTCAGTAAGTACTTAGTATAATGCTCAGCACATAGTAAGTACCATATGAGTATTAAATAAGATCTGTCCTTTTCTACTGTTATTTCATGCAAAAACCACTGCCAGATGTTTATACTAAGGGTTGATTTCTGTTAAATAAGTCGTACAAATCCTCTTTTTCCCGTCAAAATATTAAAACGACAAATGTGAGAAGCAAATTATAAACCTGAAACTGTGACTATGAAATCAGGAATTTTGTTCTGGGGCAGAAATCTGCTTCTTCTAGAATTCTCTAAAGGAATTCAACTGTCAGAAGGGACTGGTGATTATTCTGCAGCAAAACAATGGTATTCTGAACCTATGTCAATTAACGGACCGCATCACGCAGCCCAGCAATTCTTTCTCTCACGGCCTGTTCTCTCCTATGCACTCTGACCATGAGGAATATCTAAGGTTTTCCCCGAAACTTCTTACTAGGGCCTGGTCCTCACGCCGTGGGAGCACAGTAAATCCTCACTGCACCGGCTAAGAAAGATAAAAAGATAAGGCGGGCTAGAAATGTCCCTGGAGAAGGTATTCGAAAGGCTCCGCGGTCTCCGCAGCGCACCTGCAGCGGGCCACACAGAGGCCCCACAAGGAACCGCCCATCCAACTTCAGTGACAGACCCACCGCCACCTCACCAACACCCCGTTCACTCTCTAGCTGAACAGTCCGCCACTCTTGACCGTCCCGAAACGAACAGCCCAGGCCCCAGTCCTTTTCTCTGTGAGTACTATTTCAACTGCCTGTACACTCCAACTTCTGCAAATGCGACCGAGACCCGAACCCACCTGGAAATGACTGATCCGGCTCTTCTACAAACGCCAAATCTGGAGAGCGCAGGCGCACTGCTCCGGTCTCGCTCACGTGACTGGAAGGGGCTGGGTTTTACTGCGCTCGGTGTTTGATTAAAAGGTCTTCAGCGTGAGTAAGCTGGGCTTCCCTCCTCCTCTGCGCATGTGCGTGCTCTGAGCCTGATGGGAGTTGTATTTTTGCGTGAGAAGCCCGGAGTCACTAGATGTAAACCAAACTGCAAGTTCTGGAAATTGTTAGCTGTCTTCGCCCTCGCGTCCCCTGCCAGAAGCGGGAGGCTGGCCCAGCGGCCGGCTGTCAGAACCGCTGTTCGTGATGCTCCTGCTGTGGGTGTCACTGGTCGCAGCCTCGGCGCTGGCGGCAGCGGCCCCGGTGACTGGGGGACAGCGACGGCGAGCAGCCAAAGCGCCCAACGTGGTGCTAGTGGTGAGCGACTCCTTCGTAAGTACCAGGGTGCCGCGGGCAGGGCAGGGACGCCGGCGCCGGACCCACAGCCGCTCCACAGCCCCCGGTGCCGACTGTCTTGGGGAGCAGAATCTGAGACACTTTTCTACGCGGTTTGCCCTGAGGCAGAGTAAGAAATGCATTTTGTTGTGAGGCCCCGTATGCACACAGGTGCACCACATACGTATGCATGTGTATAAAACAATACTTTAGTAAGTGAAACGCGCTCTGATAAACTCTTTGTTTTTAAAAATATTGGCCTTGATTCATTAAATTATTTTACCGCCACTAATGAACTTCCGATTCCACACCCGGGTTTGATTCAGTTGTGGGGTAAACTAACATTCTGCATCTCCGTAAAAGCGTTGGAAGTCATTTCTTAGTTCATCTATGAATCTACCATGCTGGGCAAGGCAGCTCACTTTAGCAGAGGCTGTTAATCCCCAAAAGGGAATCCCAGAAACTTCCAAAGATGACTGACATATTTAGGTTTGTTTCTTTCTTTTTTTTTTTTTTAGTATAGTGTGAATGCATAGATGTTTATATTTTTGTACTTCAATTCTTTGCATTCACTATACTTAGAGTTCAAACTGCCCCTCTTAGGCCAATGGAAGCCTTTTCAGGTTGCTTCTGAGTCCTTTTGACCCAGATATAGATTTGACGGATTGCTTTTGACACAGTTTAAGTCCACCTTACATATTCCTATTTTATCTTGCATTTAGAGATAACAGTCTGGGAGTTTTCTTTGCTTCTAGACCTTTCCAGTGGACAGATCTAGAAAGTACATATATTTGAAAAAGAGAAAAATAAAGTGTGAGATTATACTGATAGTTTCAATTGAAATATAAGATGATGAGGTTATTAATTCTTCAATATTTATACTTATACCTCTTTTTCCATTGTATCACAAGTATTTTGGTCCCTAAATGTATGAATATAATTATTTATTTGCTTTATCCAAATGTATGAATGTACTTGAAAATAATATAGTGATATTACTACAAATAATGTAAGCTCGGAATGCAGCTTTCAGTTTCTTTGCAGTTTTTGTTTTAGATACATTCATCTATACAGTCAAAATACTGTTCTTTAACTTGAAGTAATTTTTCTCTCTATAGGATACAGTTAAATTCTTGGCAGTATGATTTATCATTTCCAAAACTCTGCAAACTAAGATAGGGCAGTTGAACCAATATTAAGGCAATAAGAAAATACCACATTGGTTTTTCTTTCAAGATGGCACCATGAGAAGCTTAACAAACTACTCCCCCCCAAAACAAGCAAAACTATTTTTTAAAAAACTATAAATTAAAACTATTTTTAAAAACTATTAAATAATATTTAAAACATTTAAAGTGTCTGGGAATAGTCCTAAGGGCATACACCAAATGAAGAAACATTGATTTCAACAAAATTTTCTAAAACTCTGAAAAGCCAGAGTCTGTGGCAGTGAACCATCACTCAGCTTGACAGAAGCCTCACTCATCGGAGGTGTGGCTAAGAAGACAGGGCTCCCTCTTCCATCAGTTACCAATCACAAGTTATGGCATCTTACCCAGAACAAACAGGCTGCTATCATTTCTTATCTCCTCCAGATCCAAGTTGAAGAAGTTAAATTCCTTTTTAATACAGCCGAAAAGTTAAGGGCTTTCTTTCTTCATTAAGCCCCAATTTATAGGACAGAGGCTTTATTCCAGGTGCAGAAGGACAAAACTCACATCATCTCAACAGAGAACAGAAAAAGGATTTAACAAAATTCAACAATTCTTAAAATAAAAGTACACAATAGGTGGAAACTTCCTCAACCTTAGAAAAGGACTGCTACAAAAAATTCAAAGTTATACTCAATAATAAAACCTAAATGTTTTCTGCTTAAGAACAAGACAAGGATTGTGTTCTCACCACTTCTATTCAGCATTGTACTGGAGGTTCTAGCCAAGGAATTAAACAAGAATGAAAATAAAAGGATTTATATTTGAAAGAAATAAGTAAAAGTATCTGTACTATAATCTTATGTATAGTATCCTAGGGAGTCTACTACAAAACTATTGAACTGGTAAGTTAGTAATGGTGTAGGATACAAGATAAATATACAAAAATCAGTTTTATTTCTATACACTTAATTTGTGAGGAAACTTAAAATTAAGAAAATAGTTCCATTTAAAGTAGCATCAGAAAGAGTAAAATATTTGGCAGTAAATTTAACCAAAGAAGCACAATACTTATACGCTGAAAACTTTAAAACATAGTTGGAAGAAATTAAAGAACACTTAAATAAATAGAAATATATCCTGTGTTCATGGATCAAAAGATTTACTATTGTTAATATTGCAGTCCTCACCAAATTGATCTACACATTTAATGCAATGCCTGTCACAATTCTTATGATGTTTTTTGGTTTTAGGATAGGGGAAACCCATCCTAAAATTCATATTGTAGGACAAAGGACCCAGAATAGGGGATTAGAGACTGATGGTTAGAGAGTGCAGGGTTTCTTTTTGGTATTGAAAGAACGTTCAAAAATAAATTATAGTGATGATTGCACAGCTTCCTAAATATGCTTAAAACTGAATTGTGCACTTTAGGTGGGTGAGTTGTGTGGTATATGAATTATATATTAATGAAACCCTTTTTTTTTTACAGTTATTCCTAATGTTTGTGTGCAATAACCTGATTATGTGTGGGTTTATTTACAACTTCTGTTTTGTTTTTTATTATTATTTTATATTGTTTGGGATTCATTGAGAGTACAAAGAATTAGATTACACCAATTGCGTTTGTTATATAAAGTCCCTCTAATAATTATGTCCTACCCCAAGAGGTGTGCCATACACCATGACCCCCCCTCCTCTCTCACCACTTGCTCATTCCCCTACCCCCACCCCTTGTATTAGCTCATCTGCTGCCTTCATATTAGAATTGAGTACATTGGATTCTTGCTTCTCCATTTTTGTGATGCTTTACTAAGAAGAATGTGTTCCAACTCCATCCAGGTAAATACAAACGATGTGAAGTCTCCATATTTTTAGTGGCTGAATAGTATTCCATGGTATACATGTACCACAGCTTGTTAATCCATTCCTGGTTGGTTGGGCATTTAGGTTGTTTCCACATTTGGGGAATTATAAATTGAACTGCGATAAACAGTCTAGTGAAAATATCCTTATGAGAAAAGGGTTTTTTTCTTCTGGGTAGATGCCTAATAAATGGGAAATGAGAGGTCTACTTTGAGTTCTTTGAGGATTCTACATACTCCCTTCCAAAAAGTTTGTATTAGTTTGCAGTTCCACCAACAATGTAAAAGCGTTCCCTTCCCTTCACATCCACACCAGCATCTGCAGCTTTGAAACTTTGTGATGTGGGCCATTCTCACAGAGGTTAGGTGTTATCTCAGGATGGTTTTGATTTGTATTTCTCTGATGATTAGGGACAATGAGCATTTTCTCATATGTTTATTAGCCATCCATCTGTCTTCTTTAGAGAAGGTTCTATTCATCTCTCTTGCCCAGTGGTGTATGGGATTGTTTACTCTTTTTTGTTGATTAATTTGAGTTCTCTATAGATCCTGGTTATCAAGCTTTTCTCCAATTCATGATCTGCAAACATCTTTTCCCATTCTGAAGTTTGTCTATTTACTTTGGTTGTTGTTTCTTTTTTTTTTTTTAATCTCAGAAATATCCTTTTACTTCATTTTTTATTCTATCATTTTTATTCTAATTATGAAATATATTTTAGCATTTCTCTTTCCTCACTACAATTATCAGTGTCATAATTCACTATAAACTTCTTTTTTTTTTAATTGAATGGTAACTGTGTACATTGATGCACTTTGGGGGTACAGTGTGGTGTTTTCACACACAATCCAAGACACTTCCATCAAACTGGTTAACATAGCCTTCATGTAACTTTCTTAGTTATTATGTCAAAACATTTATATTCTACTCATAGATGGTTGTTGTTTCTTTAGCTGTACAGAAGCTTTTCCATATAATTAAGTCCCATTGGTTTATTTTTTGTTGTTGTTGCAATTACCATGGGCGTCTTCTTCATAAAGTATTTCCCCAGGCCCATACCTTCAAATGTTTTCCCCACTTTCCTCTAGGATATTTATTGTTTCATGTCTTATATTTAAACTTAATCTTGAATTAATTTTTGTAAGTGGTGAGAGGTGTGGGTCCAGTTTCAGTCTTTTACATGTGGTTATCCAGTTCTCCCAACATCATTGATTGAATAGGGATGCTTTTCTCCAGTGTATATATTCTTGTAGGTTTATCAAATATCAGGTGACTGTAGATGTTAGTTTCGTCTTACAGTTTTCTATTCACTTCCAAATATCAGTATCTCTATTTTTGTGCTAATACCATACTGTTTTGATCACTGTGGCCTTGTAGTATAGCTGAAAGTCTGGTAGGATGTGCCCCTGGCTTTGTTTTTATTACTAAGAGTTGCCTTTGCTATACAGGGTTTCTTCTGGTTCCATACAAAACAAAGAATTATTTCTTCTAAATCTTGAAAGTATGATAATGGTATTTTAATTGGGATTGCATTGAATTTGTAGATTGCTTTGGGTATTATATACATTTTCACAACATTGATTCTTCCCAGCCGTGAGCATGGTATGTACTTCCATTTGTTAATATCCTCTGCTATTTCTTTTCTTAGGGTTTCTTCATTTTCTGTGTAGAGGTCCTTCACCTCTTCTTTTATATATATTCCTAGGTATTTCATTTTATTTGAAGCTACTGTGAAGGGAATTGTGTCCTTGATTAACTTCTCATCTTGGTTGTTAGTGACATATACAAAGGCTACTGATTTGTGGTCATTAATTTTTATATCCTGAGACATTACTGTATTTTTTGATCACTTCCAGAAGTCATGTGGTTGAGTCTTTGGGTCCTCTAAATATAAGATCATGCCATCAGCAAAGACCGAGAGTTTGACCTCCTCTGCACCCATTTGGGTGCCCTTTATTTCCTTCTCTTTACTTCCTTCTTTAT